TTTGGTTTCAGTTTTAGTTTAAATTTTTAATAACCATGAGGGTGCTACAAATAATTTTGCCCTGTTTGCTGATAAAACAGGGTAGGATGTTGTTATTATTTCTCATCGTTATTTTCAACCCAACTTATTCAAAATGCAACATTACAGGATATAACCATATAACATTCACTGATATGCTAATATACCAACCTTCTTGACCTTCAACATTTACAGATAACCACCATAATAATGCAAATAGTGAAATTAGAACACATGATCGCTGCACTGAAAGATTATAAAATTTGGCCTTTTCACGAGCCACAACCATATGCAGACAGTACACAGTCTCTCTTGTTACCAACAGAGATGATAAGACTTTGAAGCAAAACAATTTGTACCGCATGAGAGCCACTGCCCTAACCTCTAAGCCACAGTTTCAACAGAGCTTGTTGTTTTAAACATAATTTCAGAGAATGCATGCAAACTGCTGCTCATTTCGCTTCATTACTGAAATTTGGACACATTTCAGAAAGAACTTACTCTTTCAGCCATTTCATTTGTTTTTAGACTTGTTTGAAGTTTTGAATAATGATTTGCTGTAGAGTCTGTATTTATGATTTGGTAACTGTGGTAAAGTACAAACTAATACACACAAACTACCTTTTGTTTCCTTTAAGCACAAGTAAAACATTTACTGCTTCATATTTATCAGGTATGATAAAGTTAGGAAACATCTTGTTAGATGAGAGCAGTGTTCCTAAGAAGATTTGAGTAGCCTATACTCAAACAAGAATTAAAGGGATACTCCACCCCAAAATGAAAATTTTGTCATTAATCCCTTTGTCATTCCAAACCCCTAAAAGCTTCGTTCATCTTCGGAACACAATTTAAGATATTTTGGATGAAAACCGGGAGGCTTGTGACTGTCCAGTTGACTGTCAAGTAAATTACACTGTCAAGGTCCAGAAAAGTATGAAAGATATTGTGAGAATAGTCCATCTGCCATCAGTGGTTCAACCGTAACGCTATGAAGCGACGAGAATACTTTTTGTACTCAAAGAAAACAAAAATAACAACTTTATTCAACAATTCGTCTCCTCTGTGTCTCTCCGCATCACCGTAGCGCCATTTTGGAGAATATCTGCTGAACGCAAGCAGCGTTGAGTTACTAATAATCAGCATTTAACCTGGTAAAATAATATTTATTTAATCTTATCTATGTTATATTTCATCTGCAACAGCAATGTAAACTTTTATAAGCATCCATTTGGTCGTTAACTTTTAAATGCATCATTATGCAGAAAATATGAGTAGAAAATTTTCCGCATGAAGACCCGCGGCTCGCAGATCTACTTCTTTTCTCTCTGATATGGTAGAAAGTTAAATTAAATGAAATCTGGAGGATATAAACTGTGACAAGATGATTGACAGGCCAGTTTACAGTGACAGAGTGCGTGTAACTATGCCACAGAGCGCTCCGTTAAAGACACAATTGTATGACATGATAGTATGTCCCAATGCTTGCCTACTGCACACTCAAATATGTGTACTTTTTCTTCACCAAAAAAGTACATACTTTTAGGGCATAGTATAAGACAGCTCCACCTGTCTTGATATGCAATGGGATTTATTTATGCCTATTCATGCAGCAGCAGAATATCTTACACGCTCATAGCAGTGTGTCTGTGTCTCTATTGGCAGTAAAGTACATTCAGCAGCAGCTTGCATAGCAGGTCTAGTCTGCCAAGACCAAATGAATGTTGTCATATCCATTAACATGCTAAAGCTATTCTGAGAGTTGTCATGATTGAAATATTCTCCATTTTTGTTGTCATGTTCTCAAAGAATATTGCTGTTGCTTTATTCGATCAAGGTGGACTACCTGAAATACCTTCCTGTAAATACTGTTGCATCACATACTCATTATGATAATGAGGGAAATAGCTACAGTTGTTGCCAAACGTTTTGGCAGTGACATAAATGTTGTGTTTTGCAAAGTTTGCAGCTTAAGCTGTTGTGGTGTTCATTCACATTGTTTCTAGAGTATTGTAGTGTGTCTGTGTATCTATTGGCAGTAGCAAGTCCATTCAGCAGCAGATTGCATAGCAGGTCTAGTCTGCCAAGACCAAATTCATGTTGTCATATCCATTAACATGCTAAAGCTATTCTGAGAGTTGTCATGATTGAAATATTCTTCATTTTTGATTACACGTTCTCAAAGAATATTGTTGTTGCTTTAATCACTCAAGGTGGACTACCTGAAATACCTTCCTGTAAATATTGTGGCATCACATACACATTATGATAAAGAGGGAAATAGCTACAGTATGGGAACATGCATCGCAGAGAAGGGCAAAACTAAATACACATTGTTCAAGGTTCCAGGAGGAAGTAAGTATAATTTCTGGTGCACCTTACTATTTCTCATCTTAAGGGTTTTGTTCAAATCCATAACCCCAAGTATTAAACATAGCTCAACTTGCACACTTCGTAGAGATTTGAGAGAAGCTTATTTTGAACCAGTAAGCAACCACCCAGAACACTATAGCAACTGCATAACAATGTGCTAAAAACTACTTCGAGCATCTTAGCAACAGCATAGCAATGCTCTGGCAGCCACCCACAATACACTGTACTGTTGAGTTTTGCAGAGAAAACTTGCAATTAAAAATTATTTTTGCAATCCTGTTTATAGCCACTGGTGGCCACTAAATAACATGCATCACTTTTATGCATTACATCAAAGACCCTTCAAAGGAAAGTTAACTTTGCAGCCATATTTGCAGGGACGCAATAACTTTACCAACTGGCGATTGGTTCTTTTATTTAGATTGCATTCTTTTTGCCATATTGTGCTTTGCACTTCCTCCCATTGATAGTAATCTGAGTGTCTTGGTATATCTAAAGTCTTTGATTACATGTAGTGATGGGTGCTTTTGAAACCTTTGAGAATCTCTTGTTTCAAACCAGTGATTCAGAACCCCCTGCTGGCCTCACTAACACCTCTGCAGGCAGCAACCTAGTTTTCTCAGGAGGTCTCTCATCCAGGTACTAACCAGCCTCAACGCTGCTTAGCTTCAGTGGGCAACCAGTCTTGGGCTACAGGGTGATATGGCCGTGTCAAGCAAACAACACCTATTTGAACAAACACCCAACCCTAAGTATTAAAGTTTGGTGCATAACCTGTGACATGAATATTGCCTCAAATTGTTTGGCTTGCTAAGGGAAAATGTGCATACACTTTTAAAGAAAAAAAATCCTAAACTCACTTTCAAGTAAGAACCTAAGATATATGTAGGGAGTGGTCAAGTATGGTGATACTCAGAATAAGTGCTCTGCGTTTATCCCATCCAAAGTGCACACACACACACACAGTGAACACACACACCGTGAACACACACCCGGAGCAGTGGGCAGCCATTTATGCTGCGGCACCCGGGGAGCAGTTGGGGGCTCGGTGCCTTGCTCAAGGACACCTCAGTCGTGGTATTGAAGGTGGGAGAGAGCGCTGTACATTCACTCCCCCCACCTACAATCCCTGCCGGCACGAGACTCGAACCCGCAACCTTTGGGTTACGAGTCCGACTCTCTAACCATTAGGCCACGACTTTACAAAATGACAATTATGCTGCGCTGAAGTTTTCTTCTAAACACATAAATGGACATGCAAACATATTGCAAAGTTTAGGGTTCATATAAACAGAACCTTCAGAATCTAAAACCAGACTGAATTAATTCGGATTTTCCTGCAGCACCCAGGGATCAGTTGGTGGTTCAGGCACCTCAGTCATGGTATTGAAGGGGGGAGAGAGTTCTGTACATTCACCCCCCCCACCTACAATCCCTGCCGGTACGAGACTCGAACCCACAACCTTTGGGTTATGAGTCCAACTCTCTAACCATTAGGCCACAACTTCCCCACAAACGAAACATCAGCAACCACATACACTGACAAAGATTGGTCACTTGGTGGCAGTGTTGTCTTTAGAAAAAAGTAACAAGAAAAAAAAATATATAACATTATTTTGAACTGGGAATATTATATTATCAAATTTATACAGAAATAAGTCTTTGATTACATGTAATGATGGGTGCTTTTGAAACCTTTGAGAATCTCTTGTTTCAAACCAGTGATTCAGAACCCCCTACTGGCCTCACTAACACCTCTGCAGGCAGCAACCTAGTTTTCTCAGGAGGTCTCTCATCCAGGTACTAACCAGCCTCAACCCTGCTTAGCTTCAGTGGGCAACCAGTCTTGGGCTACAGGGTGATATGGCCGTGTCAAGCAAACAACACCTATTTGAACAAACACCCAACCCTAAGTATTAAAGTTTGGTGCATAACCTGTGACATGAATATTGCCTCAAATTGTTTGGCTTGCTAAGGGAAAATGTGCATACACTTTTAAAGAAAAAAAATCCTAAACTCACTTTCAAGAAAGAACCTAAGATATATGTAGGGAGACTTGACGAAACATCAGCAACCACATACACTCTTGGAATTTTCTTTTTACAAAAGCTGGGGTGGAAGGAAGTCAACTATAACCAGTATGACACTCAAAGATTGGTCACTTGGTGGCAGTGTTGTCTTTAGAAAAAAGTAACAAAAAATATATATATATAACATTATTTTGAACTGGGAATATTATATTATCAAATTTATACAGAAATAATTACAAAGAAATGGCAAGTAACACACTGAATTGAATTTGAAATTTTTAAGTAAAAAGACTAAAATAGTATAGTAATAGTATAGTAACAGTTATTGTAAAACATATTCCAATAATCGTTGTTTTATTTACAACTTTGAAAAATCATATTTATAGTGTAGTTAGTGGTCATTGGTGAATTTTCATACTCAGAATAAATATATTTCAGGCAGAAGCTTAGTATACAAACATTTACTCCATAATGTCAAATATGAAATGAATAATTCAGCAAATATCATATTTTTGTTTTTATTTTCACATAAAACATTTTTGAAAAAAAACACTTTTAGTGTAGTGATCTGTAATTCAACAAATGAGAAAAATTAGGAAAAGATCTGAATATTAGGCACATATTCTGTATAGACTGTATATGAAACATGAATGTGAAAACAGTTCAAAAATGGCAAGGAACAATTGTCCATACTTTTTGGACACCACAATATACAGAATAAGGGTAAAAGAAAGCTGTGTTTTTTGACCCACTCCAATGAACAGTTCAGGAGAGATCATCTTACTAGTCATTTACATTTAATGTATCACAATAGCCTGTTTTACAGGAGGTCTATAAAATGATTATAATAATTCACTTAGCAGATGCTTTTTTCCAAAGTGACTTACAAATGAAAAACATACTAATTTGTCAGAGAGCCAACAATATTCATAGTGTACAATGCCAGGTTGATTCATAGTATACAATGCTAGATTAGAAATAATAAAATGCTAACTTTACAGCTTTAAGCAATTTTTTTCCTACTTAAGACATACTCAATTGTCACAAACAATTAAGGAGAGATCATTTTATATAATAATGTTACTATGTAACAATAGAGTTTTCCAGAATGTCTGTAAAAAATATAATACAATTAGCAATAATAAAATCAATAATGTTTGCATAGGATTATGAAGAAAAATACTGATTTCTCTTTTTATATCTCTTATGTATCTTTACAAAAAACACCCTAAAAATGGGTTGTTGGATTGTTTTTGATGTCCATTTTAGGTCGACTTCTCATGGATGAAAAGCCCATGCAGGTCCATATGAACAGCAGTATCAATGGTAGCACGAGCGATCTCTTTAAAGGACTTAGCATCTAGAACCACCAAGAAAGGAGGCTTTTGGGGATTGAATGAAACCACAGAAGACAGGATAACACCTGAAAATTGAGAAAAATCACTTACGTTTTGTTAAGACAGCATGACTACAAAAGCTTTGAACAAATAGTAAGTCATGGAACCTCACAACTGGCCAATTTGGATCACTCTGAATAGGCAGCATCTACACGTGCCACATAAATAGCAAAAAGCGCGGGAGACTAAATTTGAAATTGATTTAAACACGTACCTGCAAACTCAAAAGAGGTCAAAAAGGTGACATAGTTCGGAATATGACCTTTGTAGGGGCGTCTGGGGGCATCCCCCCCAGAAGAAAAAATTTGAGAATTTAACATGTAAATGAAGCGTTCTGGTGCACTCTGACAACAAAATAAAGGAAAAAGACAACATATGCTTCAAGTAAAAAAAGCACATTTATACCACAAACTTTTTGGACAGTGCAACTCTGTTGTCATCGGTGTTCATACTTCTTTTTGGGAGCAGTGGAGTAATTTATTTTTGCTAATTTTAATGTTCACATTAGAGTGTGCATACTATCAACAAACTCCATCTTTACACTGCAGAGGTAACAGAAGCTGCATCTGAAGTGGCATTAGATGTATTTACACAGAATGTTTAATGAAGCTGAGGTGCCATAAATGCATTTACACCACAACATTTCATAAATAATTTTACAAGATTAATGTTTTAAATATTTTTGAACATATAAGTAAAAAAATGTTGGGAAAATGCAATACTTTTAAATATGAAACCAAACCACCAGTAGATGATGGTAAATGACTGTTTTAATGAGCGAGTCATTAGACAATCATTCATAAATGAAGCACATGATTACTTTCTTTATGAATGGATTACTGAATCATTGACTCACTTGATTCGTTCAAAAACGTGGATTCATTCAGTATCGATTCTCGAAACACCGCTGTGTTGCTCGGAGACACAAAACAGTTCTGCTGTGGCTTTGATTGAAACTTCGTCAGCGAACTTGAGCAAAAATAATCAATATTGTTTTACAAATTGCGAACTTTGTGTCTGTTTAACTCACAATGAAGAACTTCCACGCAGATGACATGTGTGCCATCAAAATGGACCGGCTGTGGGCTGTGAGATGAGGTGTGTTCAATTTGAAGCAGCAGCACGCAGACCGATCGGACATCAAAGTACCGTGAGAGCGATTCGAACATATGCGGAGCTATCTGCTCTCTGTAGCTCTCGCGGTGCTTTGATGTCATACAGCGATCGGTCTGTGCATTGCCGCCTCAAGTCGAACCGAGAAAGGGACTTTGGTCGAACACACTCCTGTCTACGAGCTTGCAATTTCTCTCTCTTCCAATAGATACACAGACACGCTGCTATGAGCATGTAAGATACATAAATCCTGTAGCAGCTCTAGACAGGTGGAGCTGGGGGAGTTGGAGGTCCTTAAAGGAACTCTGATAGCATGTTGCAGGACCAGCTTACAGCAAACACCGAATCAGACTGTTTTAATGTTGAGCAAGCAATCTCATTGGTTGTAAAATCAGCAGAGGCCAATCAGCTTGTGCCATGTAATAAATGTTGTGACTGCTGCAGATTGCATTTAAAGGACCTATCAACCTGCACCATCATGACTGAACTAGCTATTTGCTTTTAAATCTTTTATTATGCAGAAACATTACTAATATACTCACCATCATCTTCTTCAACAGCATCTGGAGATGCCACAAACACTGGCTCAGATGGGTAACATTCCTCCTCGATCCACACTTGATGTGTCCTGGTGGCTATGTCCACTTTTGCAATCTATATAACAAGAGCTAATGTTGCTAAATTATTGCATTTTATTGGTGCCAGCGATAGCAAGATAATAGGTTTGAATAATTGCAAATGTCCAGAATGCTAGAAATATTTACCTTGCTTGGATATGGCGACCACTCCACCCTGGTGCCATAGAAGTACCTGTACTTCTTACTGTTGAATTTGTAATTGATCCCTGGTAATTCTAAACCTGTAATCATACAATAATGGTCAAAATTAGGGAAAAAAAGATTTTAAAAATGCGAAAGTTCTGAATATAGGAATCACCCTCAAAAATAGTGTCAGGGGTGCAGTAGATGGAGCCGTCCTTCTTCAGCACTGCTTTGGCTGTTGTGTCCTGCAATCTGACCAGATTGGTGTCTGGTGGAGTTTCCTGATAGCATGACAGAAAATGTTTGTTGAATCACAATTCCGTTTGAATCTATTAAATGGTGTTGATGCAATTTATAGTTATCTAAAGAAATGTGACCTTGGAGCACAAAACCAGTCTTAAGTCGCTGGGGTATATTTGTAGCAATAGCCAAAAATATACCCCGTATGGGTCAAAATTATAGATTTTTCTTTTATGCCAAAAATCATTAGGATATTAAGTAAAGATCATGTTCCATGAAGATATTTTGTAAATGTCCTACTGTAAATATATTAAAAATGTATTTTTGATTAGTAGTATGCATTGCTAAGAACTTCATTTGGTCAACTTTAAATGCAAATTTCTCTACATTTAGATTTTTATGCACCCTCAGATTCCAGATTTTCAAACAGTTGTATCTGGGCCAAATATTGTTCTATCCTAACAAACCATACATCAATGGAATGCTTATTTATTCAGCTTTCATGTGATTTATAAATCTCAATTTCGAAAAATTGACACTTATGACTTGTTTTGTGGTCCAGGGTCACAAATATGCTAAAGAGTTCCCCTGCCACAATTTATCTGCACAAAGCTTTTCTGAAAACAGGCAAAGAATTGTATTATAGGCAAGACATGAACGCATTGTATTTTCTGATAAACTATTAAATTCCATAATGACTTGAATTTGAATTATTGTCAGAATAATGCATTTGCAATCTTTATATTTCCTGTTTTACCTTGTCTATGTTCAGTGGAAGGACAAACCGTTGACATGTTGGTCGAGAGAAGTCCTTGTTGGTCTCTATAAATTTGTCAACATCTTGCTTCATGTTGTGTATATAGAACATATCATATAGATTGCTGTCCTGGTATGTGATCAGGTCAAAGACAACATGGCTATCTTCCTCATAAGCATTAATGTGATGGAAGATCACAAATGGGTCTGCGTAGTACTTCGTGCTCACAGTTTTCCCAGTCTTCCTACTGACCAGATGGATCAGTGTCTATGTGGTGATCAAAACCAACAATTGTTAGACTATTTTGGACAGTTATTAAAGGGGTCCTATTATGCTCTTTTACAAAGTCTTGATTTTGTTTTGGGGGTGTACTAGAACATGCTCTCATGCTTGGTGGTTCGAAAAGCGCATTATTTTTCACATAATTTACATTATTAAAATACCTTTCTCCCCAGGCTGGCACAAACGGCTCGATTAGTTCTGGCTTTGATGAAGGTCCACCTTCCGAAAAACAAAATGTGTTGTGATTGGTTAGCTGTCCTAGTGCGTTGTGATTGGCGAACAGCTTAGACAGTGTTTCAGTACTGCCACGCCCCTTGCTCCGTCTTTCAACAAAAACTTTTTGGGCGAATCCGGCACTGTACTCCCTCATGTTGTGGAAGCTGTCCTCAGTAAAATGCGCAGCACACAATAGCTCACAACAATGAAGCACAATAATGCTCAGGAACAGAGTTAAAAAATTAATTGCAACCACTGTTTCCTGACATCATCCGCTTTCGGAAGCCCAAACAAAGACGTTTGTGCACGGAGGTGAAAAAAAACAGCGTTTCAGGCGGTCGCGCACCGGACGAGAAGCGCAGCGTCGCATTGCGCCACAACTTTAAAATTCAAATACATTATTTTCTATGAGTGTAGGCACACCGGCGACGCCGTTCGGCGTCTGTCCGCGGCGCCCAGCTATGCCATGTTATACTTGTAAGAATTGTTCTAGACATGCCGAAAATTTTACACTACAGCACAGCAGCTCTTCTTCTTGGTTTTCTCTGATGCACTAACTCTGCAGCAGCATTTCCATTTGGAGTGGACTTTGAGATTTGTAACTTTCTAGATCTTTTTTATGCCCAAACATACACACTACACACTGACTAAAATTAAAAAAGTGAAAAAGCATAATAGGACCCCTTTAAAGCATTTAGATGAATGGATGAAGTACTATTTTAGACAAAACAGAAGTTTTGCTCACAATATCATCTTTGTCAAATTTCAGGCAACTGCCCCAGTTGACATCTCTGAAGTAAGCTGTGGCCAGTTTGAGGATATCCAGCTTGAAGGCCTGCTCCACAAAGATAATGTAGTTCTCCGTCATGCCAAAGCTATGGAAGTAGCTCGGATACAAGGTGGAGCGGAAAGGAATGGAACAAATTTGTTCCACCTTCCCGAGGGCTGGCTTCTTCTCTTTATCTGCAGTAAGAATCACATACATTGTGTATTTGCTCTTTCTGAAATAGCCCATTTACAATTTAACCTTCTGGTTATTTCTCATTTAGTGGTCAAAACTGACTGCAGATCACAAGCGTGACATTTTTTGTTTTAATGAAATGAATGTACCAGATTTTATTTCTACAATATTTGTTCTTTAATATTTTGTATTTTGAGGGGATTTCATGTAGTAGACTATATTCATCTCTAAATTATTCACTATTTATTTCTATATAAAATAATACATATATTAGAACAACTATTTCGTTATACAGGGCTGTGTTGCTTATAAGAATATTTTCACATATAATTACTTAATTTGATTAGGTTTTGCATTTGGATATACATTTAGACATTATCAAAGACAATTTCATCGTGGCTGATTGTTCCTCAAAAAATTGCTCTATATTTCCATATTTCCTGTTCATTTTTGACTGTGAAGATCATATCTGAAATTTTTTTGTGCCTTTTCTAATTATGTCATTGCTTATATATGTATATATATATATATATATATATATATATATATATATATATATAAAGAAAGGGCCA